ATTATGTGAATTGTGGTCAGTGTTTATTTAGGGTGTTTATTAGCTTGTTAATTATTAGTTGAAGTTTTTTTTGGTGTCATTGATCTTCAATTGCAAGAACTTGAAAATCGATTTCCCGAAATAACTAAAGAACTACTTGTGTGTATGTCTTGTTTGAGTCCTGTGGATCGTTTTTCTAAGTTTGATAAGGAAAAATTGATTAAGGTTGCAAAATTCTATCCTAATGAATTTCCAAGTTCATAAATAGTCTTTGGTCATACACTTGAGAGTTACATTTGTTCTGTTAGAGGAGATGAAAGGTTTTGGAATTTGAAGGGTCTTAGTGAACTTTCAATCAAATTGGTTGAAACGGGATTGTCTGAAACTCATGATAGGGTCTATTTACTTTTGAAGTTGGTGTTGTTTCTGGCATGAAGCAAGTGAAAGACAAACTACGAAATAGCATGGGAGATCAAATGTTGAATGATTGTTTAATTACTTATTTGGAGAATGATTTGTTTTTGAATGTTAGCATGGAAGATATCATAAATCGATATCAAAACATGAAAACTCGTCGAGAAATATTGTAATAAGTTTGCATTACTATTTAATTGTCTTTTGTAGTATTATATGAACATTTGGTTGTATTTTGTACTGTTTGAATATTTAGATGTATTTTTTAGTACTATTATTTGGTTGTTTGGTAAATTTTTTTTTTTACATATTTGATTATCGATTGTGACTCACCAGTCGGAAATTCCTGGGTCCGCCACTGAATGTATGCATCTTTGAAATTCTTAACTAACTCTCTAAATGTTTTAGGAGCAGTTTGGTCCTTCAAGGATTGAATTTCTCTATAAAACCCCAAGTCAAGAACATTCAAATCATGACTATTTGGAGGCTGACAAACTAGCCTAATGTCTTTACTTGTTGCCTAAGCTGCTTCTATGAATTCTACATCATTTATTTGCTAGTATGTGTGGCTTAGCATTGTCTTGCTGAATGTAGATTAGCCCTTATTTATCAGCTGGCCACTTCTCTTGAATGACTGGCAACACCTTGTTAATCAACATGTTTTTGTATGCTTCTTTTAATTTGTAACTGAATTTACAGGCTTCAGTTCTAAAGTCCCTGCTAGTCGATATTTGTTTCTTCTCTTTGCTGGAACCCACCTTATAAATGGGAAAATACCCAACTTACCATCAAATGTACACTCCCCTATAGCATTAAAACGTGATCTTGCTACTACCGCAAGAAACATGACTTTCATAATGAACCCTTTTTTTAAATCATTAAGTAGATGATTTTATTACTCATAAAAAAAAAAATGTGATTAAAACAAATATCCCGGGGAGAGGCTACATAGGCTAAAAGCCTAAAGAAACACCTATACAAAGACTACAAAATTTATACAAACTTAGACTGTCTATCCAAGCATTTTGCTATACAGTATTCTTGCTTTATTTTACCTATCTCTTGTAACCTACTCTTTATCTTAAACTTTATACACTTTGCCACTTTAGGAATCCATAGCTCTTTCCTGTCCCATAAAGCAACTTTTTGGCCCTCTATGAAAGCTAACACTTCTATGAAAGTTGTTTCTCATTTTGCCTATTACTCTATAGGCTGTATTCAGCTGAATGCTGTGAGGCTCCATGCCAATCCATTGTCTAATCTCAGACCAAAGAGTCTCACTGAACTTACCCATAAACATATAACTATGACTCTCCACGGACTCCCATGTTTAGGCATGCCTTTTCTCTCCTAAATCTTTTTATCCCATACATATCTTTGTTGAGCATCCATCAGAAGATCATAATGTTTCCCAATCTTATAATTTTCTTGCCCAATTTGAGCAGGAGCAACTACACTCTTCAATTCAGTTAATCCTTTTACAACACATATTTGTTCCCAATACCAGCTACAGTCAGCTTTTGGCTGATAATTCATCCAATTTTGCTTTTACATGTTCCATAATAAACCTTTTGCTTTTACATGTTTTGTATGGTTTAAGCTCATTTGTTAGAATGTAAAATTTTTGGTTGCCCTTAGTCATGTAAAAACAATTTTTATCGACATGTATAATGTTGTACATGATAGAAATTTGTGGTTATTCTTCCAATGTGCTTCTTTAAGTGCTTGCAAACACCATTCAATGCATTAAATCACTATGTGGTTGTATCAAACCTGCCTTCTATGAGTTGTTGACTTTGATAAACCAAGAGCTATTGTAAGTGCTCTGATGTTGCTTCGTTTGTGATATCGAATAAGCTTGACTATGCACAAATTTATGTACTTCTTCTTTATTCTGCAGTTGGACTTGTTGTTGTTGATATTGATGCTTTCTCCTTGCATAACCTGATTTTTTAATTTGCTGCTAATCATAGATGGTGAACATTACTACGTGAGCAGTTGAACATTTCTCTTGCTTCCTTCATCGCACCTTTGTGAATTGTTCCGAATTCCTTAGTTTGGGTAAGCAACCATTCTACCATTAGCTTCTTATTGTCATTGCTGATCATATTTTCCCTTTGATTTAATATGCACATTTTGGATGCCAAATAGTTCGTACCAAACTAAAAGGTAGAAGAGGCTAAATGTGAGACTCTCCCTTTTGGCATGCTTGGGCACAATTTAGGGGACCAAAATGTGTAAAAAGTGGGTTTACAATTGACACTTATTCCCTCCAAATTTGGATAGAAAAGGTTGTGAAAGCTTCTCTCTTCATTTATGGAGTCATGGTGACAGTATTCCACCAAAACCTCGATGATGAGGAGATTTTTCCCGAGAGGTGAAAAAAACTGAAACTATTTCCCTCCCCCACCCCCAACCCCAAGAACAAGTATGTGTTTTCTCTTGTTTTTCCTATGTTTTTTTTGTAGGTGAACAATTCATGTCGGAATTTAAAGAGGGCTTGTTTTTTTTGTAGGTGAACAATTCATGTCGGAATTCAAAGAGGGCTTTTATAAAAGTTGCAGCAGCATGATAGAAGGTGGCAAAAGTTGGCACGAAGCAGAAATTTTGTAGGGCCAATTTCTAAATTTTGTTGAATTTTCGTGAGGGAAATTGATTAACTTTGTGAAGTTTTGAATTTGAATGAAATATAAAAAAAAAAAATTTAATAATTTTTAATTTGACTTTTGTTGTATTTTTCAGCTGTTTTGGCGCAATAGGTAACTTTTCCCAAGATTGGTTGGCGCCATACAACTTTATGTACCAGAAATTAAGGTTCCCCGGCCCACCCACCTTTCACCCCCTTCTCTGACTGACAACCCTACTTGTAATTTTCTAGCAATATAAAAATATAAAAGACAATCCTTAATACAATAAACAAATGTTTTAAATGGAACACTTGTAGTATTATTAAACTACGTGTCCACCCTAACGTCTTTTGGGACGGAAGGAGTGCACATCAAATAAAAATGGAGGAAAATTTTTTTACGAACTTACACTTTGATAATCTCAACTATGAACAATTTACTTTTAATCCCAACTAAGGTTTATTATTTAATAATCCTAACTATGGGGTGAGTTTGCCACTAGCAATCCCAACCGGCCATCAACCTAATATAACAGGTTGCTTTGACACATGGCATCATATGTGTGGTTCAAAAAAAATAAATAAAAAATAAAATTTAGAAAACTGAATAATTAAAAAAAAAAACCTCACCTCCCTACCAGCCACCCCCTCCCCCTAGCCCCGCCGGAATCTGTCGCAACTTTGCCATGGAAACCTCCTCTTTCCCCTTCCACCCCACCGAAAACAACCACCTTCCCCATCCCCGAAACTACCCCCTCCCTCCCCCCACCCTGAATTCGCCTATAACTAACCCCCTGCCATCCGCGAAACCACCACCCTCTCGCCTTTCCCCCTCACGAAACCACTTCCTCGCCTGGTCGCACATTTTTTGGCTGGGCGTTCTTCTCTTACACTTCAAAAACGCAATATTTTCATCGCGGCATCATGTTGATATGTGCTTTGATGCCGTCATTAACACCATCGATGTGGGAATCGATTCCTCAACTGATGCATTTGTTGCCATCTAAAATTTTGAAGAAACCCCATCAATAAATTAGAGATATTAGGAGGTGGTTTTAAGGAAGAGGGGATGGTGGTTCAGAGGGAGGGGGGAGGGTCGACGGGATGGTTGAGGAGTGGCTGCCTGACGAGATTGGGCGCTGGGCAACGGAGGTGCCAGTGGAGGAAAGGGGTGCGGGCGGTGTTTTGGGTTTTCTTAATTTTTTTTTATTTTTTTCCGCTTTTATTTTTGGGGGTTGTTAAACAGATTATTATTATTTTATTTAATTTTAATTTATTTATTTTTTTAACTCTTTTTTGTAGACCAATAGAATTGCGACACATGTAATTAAAAATAAAAATAAAAATTAACCTGCTTATTAGGTTACCGGTCATCCGGGACTACTAGTGGCAAACTCACCCATAGTGAGGATTATTAAAAAATAAACCATAGTTGGGATTATTGCAACTAAATCGTTCATAATTGGGATTGTTAAAGTGTATTTTTCCTATTTTTTATTTAACTTTCTCGTTATATCACACTCACTTTTTTTTTGGGGAGTGTTAAACGTCGCCCTCATTTTACATACTAATGCCCACAATTTGTCTTAAACGGACCACCATGCCTTCCCCTTTTCACTCTCAAATTCTACGAGTAACATTTTTTTTCAATATTCACATCAATTTTTTGCGGAATTTATTTATTTATTTTTTTCCAGAAATTCTACTAACCATCAATGACAAAACAACATTCACCATCATCATCATCACCATAATTATATAAAAAATTCTCCACACGCTCCATGATTCATAAATTGGGTATCGATAAAAACAGGGGAAATCAGAGGAAGAAGACACCAAAATCAAGAAATTTAACAGATTTTCTATGACATTAATTCAATGATTATATCTCTCCCCAACCGCTAACCCCACCGCCATCACCATCTCCTCACCAGCCACCACCACAAACACCACCACCCGCCACGCCCACCACTACCATTAATGTCTTTAAGAGGTTTTTTTTTTTTTTTTAAAGAAAAAAAATAAAGGAACGCCCAAATATATCTTAACCGGTAGGTGGAAACACCTGAATATTTCGTTCCCACCTACAGGTTACGAAATCATTAGGCGTTTCCAACAAAACGCTTATAAATTTCGTAACCTGCAGGTGGGAACGAAAAATTAAGGCGTTTCCACCTGCGGGGTACGACATTTTGAGGCGTTTTCTGACCACCTTCTTTCTCTATGCTTCCTTGTCCCCGATTTGTTTAACTCCGAACTCGCCGTTTCCTGCTACCCCATTAGAGATCTTTGTGAAGAATTGGTAATTTTAATCCTAATTAAATTATTTTTTAATTTTTTGTTAATTAAAGATTTCTGTAGAATTACATATTTGCATAGTATATGAAAAAAATCAGCAATTTATTTTTTAGCACATATCAATCACATGTATTGGACCGATTGTGTGTTCGATTTTAGGATTTGCAATGTATTGTGATTATCAATACTACACTTAGGCCGTGTTTGAGAATCCATATTTTGTTTCAAATGAAGGTGCTTCAATAGATGAGAGTGAGAAGGAGATGGGCAAAATGGTATGTTTAAGTCAAAATGTGGGCATTAGTATGTAAAATAGGGGGCGACGTTTAGCGTTTTTATTTTAGTATTTTTTTATTTGTGATAACAGTTCCCAAGATTATTGAAGATTATTTTTAAAAAAAAAATAAGAAAAGAAAAACTGATAATCAACAGAAAGTGAATACGTGGCAGCTTAGGGTGAAATGTCCCCTTTAAACCCTCACCCCGGACTCCCTCTTAACGGTTAAAACAAAATTAAAAAAACAATAAATTAAAACACAAAACAATAAAAAAAAACCCTCTTTGTTCCGAAAATCTGTGGGCATCCGTCGATTTTTTCTCTCATCTCACCTCAGACCTCACTCACTCACTTTCTACTCTCACACTCTTTTTTCCGATTCACCGCCACCATGGACTCCGGCGTGACGGCAACCTCAGCCGCCGCCGCCGTCAAGTCGGTGTTAGACAAACCCCTTCACGAACTCACTGAAGACGACATTTCTCAGCTTACTCGTGAAGATTGCCGCCGTTTTCTCAAAGAAAAAGGTCTTTCCTTCTTTCTCCCTTCTTTTCCGGGACTATTGGACCTCTATTTTTCGATTAATTTGAGGATTAAATTGTTGTTTTTTTATTTGTAAAGAAAAAAAGGAGAATGAAAATGGAGTTTTTAAATGACACGTGTGGGATTATGATTGGTTGGGTTTTACAGGTATGCGGCGACCTTCATGGAACAAATCCCAGGCGATTCAACAAGTTATCTCACTTAAATCCTTGCTTGAGCCTTCTCCTCCTCCTAATGCTGCTGCTCTTAAATCTGCCCTTGTTCGTCCTCCAATACACCCTACTAATACTGTAAGTATCTCGGAATTTACGACAAAATTACGCGCTTATTGGTGTTATTAAAATATTTATTTAATGTTTAATGTTACTACCCTTGGCTTTATAATATACAACTACTTCATGGGGTTGGGGCAATTTTATTTATTTTTTCTTTTATTTTAAATTGGTTCATATTTGATATTTTTAATGTAATAATTGATTGTTAAATAGTCTGAGTTTCAACATGAAGTCCTCAAGTATTTTTTTTTATGATAATTTATATATTTTGTGGATGGCTGGTGTATTATTTTGTTTGTTATTTATGATGGTAACTAAATATATGCTGTATACTACTATAATTTTTTTTTTTTGATGTTTAATGAATTTTGCTTAAACATATGAAATGTAGGTGAACTCGAATTCGTCTAGCTCCATAAAAGAATTAAGTCCTGCTGATGTGGATGGATCAGTATCCGCGTTGGGGGAGGATGGAGGTCCTAATCAGCCGGCTGGTACTTCTATTTCAGAACCCACTAGAGAACCTGAATGTCATCCCACTGCCATCGACTCCAAAGCTGTACCTGTCAGGTCTTTTGTCCTTACATTTGAGTAGAACTATAGGAGTATTATTGATGGTTATGTTTGGTTACAGTAGTACAAGAGCGTGGTTTTTGGGAGATTTGTGATTGATGAGACTTTAAGTATTGTGTTGATGATGTCTGTTGATGCGTCGATGATGAATTTGATACAACTTGGTGTAAAACATTTTGGCTGGGTTTACTTATTTTGATAAGCAATTCTTCAACTTTTATGGTTTCTCAAGATGAATTCATTAAAACTCTTATCATAGGCTTAAATCAAGAAGAGCATACTAGTGTCAGGAATTATGTTAATGCATTATATTCCAATGTATTAATCATTAAGGATTATAAAATTATAACACATCAAAATAAGTCCAACTTTCCTTGGACTAATACATCTTTGAGCATTTTGTTTCAAATAGTTGCATTTTACAAGCTTTAAATTTTTTTTTATTACATTAATTTTTTTATTTTCTATATAGAAGTTGTCAAGATTTATCCAGCAAATTTCCATTATGGCAATCACGTACTAGCTTAATGTTCAATGGGAAGCACCTATGTGTATCAACTAATGTTAAGTAATCTCTAGTTATTATTCCACAAGTCTACGACCTTTGGTTCTTAGCTTCTTATATTTATTAGAATCTTGGCCATCCATGCTTCTTGATCATGGTCTTGAACAAGTCATTTATTTGTTTTTAACCCTTGGTGATGGTGACTTCATTTTATCATTTCTAGATCCAGTTTCAGGACAATACTGATTGCCGTTCCTTATTAGCTTCCGTAGTCTAATGTAATGAACATTTGCATGAAGCAACAAAGTGATGAATGTAATACGAACTCTTCTTTGAGTATATAATGCAAAAATAAGTTTACTCTACAAGGCTAGTGATCTGTAAGACAGACTATTTTCCAGGCGCCGTAATTATATTTTATTCGAAAATTTTGGTGTAAAACTTGAAGTAGCACTTACATCTTTCATTTAGCAGCTGTAACAGTAGCTTTGAGAATACAAGGTATAAAATAGCAGCTCAATCGTTCTGTTTCATGAATGCCTTGGCTGGAGCTTGTAGAATTTTGCATTTGTACAGGCATATTGTGCCTTTTTGTAGTAAATTGGTTTATTGACAAGTTCTCTAGAATCTTGTTGTAGTGTTAAAAATCATTTTCCACTACATCAAGTGTGTTGGTAATAGAATACAAGCATTTAGCAGTTGATGTTTACCTGCTGGTCTTAATGCTGTTTCATGAGAGAATTAACTAGGGACTCCCTATGCTGTGTTTAATTTTCTTCTGTTTAGTTTAACCTGAAAGTGTTTAAGTAGGAGCTAGGTATGTTTACACTTTTGTCACTCATTTCTCTTTACTCAGTTGCATGATTGTGTGCTGCATTCTGTTTCTTTTCTTTTCTTTTGAAATATAATCAATAAGTACCCTATTTGGAACTCATTTTGTGAACTAGTACCATAATCCTTTTTTTTTCTTTTTATTTATTTTTTGTCTAATAGTACCCTATGTTGGCAAAATCTATTAAAAAGTATCTTTTGTCAGTTTCTGCTGTAAAGTCAAATATCCGATGTTTTTGTGTTCTCTCTCTTTTTTTGCGCTTGAGTAACAATTCTTTTGTTTGTTACCGTTTCCTCACTCACAATCTCTTTCTCCTCTTTTTTTTTTTTTTTTTTCCTTTCACCTTCAACATCTTCTGTTGTTTATGATCCTACTGTCCTCTCTAAGTCTCTGTTCCTTTCTCACTTCTTCTTCTGCATGCTCTTTTTTTCTTTATCACTTCCAATCCCCACTCCAACTCCTCTCTTTCTCCCTTTGTGTACACAAAATATGACATATCTTCTTTTCTTTCTTGTTCTCCAAACTGCTCAAATGGAGGGTAATTGATTGAGGAAATAAAGAAATAAAATTAAAGACTAATATATAATAGAGTATATCACAAACTGCATCAGTATTCCCTTCCAGTAAAGATTTAATTCATTTCCTTATTTCTCCTATTAATTGGTTCCTGAAATTTGTGCTCTGCCTCTTCCTTTACCTTCGCCAATTCGACTCTCCAATTAAATTTGTTCTCCTTCCTTACGCATGCATTTTTTAATTACAAAACCCAACTCTCTTTTTCTATAGTTTATTGCCTTTTTTTTTTTTTTTTTTTTCAAATTTTAAAGATTAATTGCAGTATATCTTTCTATAAAATTAGAAAATTTGGTTGTTAATTTACATTGTATGGAATGCAATTTTTGGATTTTTTTTTTTTAATTTTTTTTTAATTTAAAATATCCTTGTGCATTAATGTATCTCATTTAAATGCATGCATAAAACCATATAAGTTGCTAGAGTATATCTTCTACAACATAATTTTTTGCTAGGTGGTTGAATTTCTACTTTAACATCCTCCTTCATTTGTCGAGCAATTATTATTGGTATGGGAAAAGAGAGAAGTTTATTTAGAGGTATCAGTAATAATCATTATGGAGATAATGCTTTTGGATCTGGGAGATGAGAAGAGAGAATGGAAGGAGAACAAATCAGATGAATAATGATGAACAAAGAAAGAAAAGGACACAAGCTAGGGTGTGGGTGGTGGTTGAGGAGGGTATGGAGCTTATTAAACCAACCATTGAGAGGAAGAAGACAATGGAGCATATAAGGAAAAGAGAATGAAAAAAAAAAAAGAATAGGGGGAGTGAGGGACGTGCTTAAAACAGAGGCAAAACAGGTAAAGATGAAGTGAAAGCGTCAGTCATTTACTTGTTCACCAAGTTGGAGAGAGGGTATCATATTAAATAGATATTTCCAAAATAAGGTATTTTGGGACCAATTTGGAGAGAGGGCACTACATTAAATAGAAATTTCCATAATAAGGTACTTCGCAGTATATAGCAAAATTAAGATACTAGTAAATAAGATGAGCTCTAGTTAAGGTATTGTTTTATTTTATTTTATCTTATTTATTTATTTATTTATTTTTTGGCTTTTTTTTTTGGGGGGGGGGGATCATGTGCTGATTTTCATAATCCCTGTCTTGACAATCATCTAGTAGTTACGTATAGAATTATGGCGCTTAGTAATCTTCTATGGTTTTATCTGCATCAAATAGATTTCCTTATCAGTTAAAGGCCCTTTTTCGATAAAGGCAATTCCATTGAAGAAGAGATAATTATAACCAGAAGAGCACATTATTCCTCGAAAGTAACTCACTGGTAGAAATTTGTACGCCATGTCTTAATGACATCAATAGAAGAAGCATATTGATGTTTGATATCTAGGTAGACTAATGTATTCCAGAAACACTTATTCTGTGTACTATTACTTTAAAATTCTATGTTATCTCCACGGAAGGATCTTTTAGTATTCAGTGGGATTGGGGAACAGAAGAAAGATGGTTAAATGGATGTGGCAGTGTGGCCTAGGAGAAATGAATGAATATGGAATTAAATTGTATTAACAGTAAAAAAACGAATACACAAGAGATGAACATGTAGTGTTTCAAAGTCAAATTTTATGTTTGATGTATTAAAGTGTATAGAAGCGTCTTCTATGCATCATGTTGAACTGAAAATTAAATGTCAAACTACAGTAAAGCAAATATCCTGGAACTTTAGGATTACAACCAAGCTTCAGTTGTTTAAAGATATCTTTTGCTGGTTTGTTTAATTTATAAAATCTAATAACTTAAGCTAATACTTCCTCCGTTCCTCTAATATTGCAGCAACTATCATTTAAAAAAGTGTCACAAATATTGCAGCATTACCATATTTGCACATGCTTTCTCCCTGTCTCACTCTTCATGACTTGGTTCCCTATCTTTATTTTCTCTATCTCTCTCCTCATCTTAAATTAAATGTCTTCCCCTCTTGTTGCCATATTAAGGGAACGGAGGAAATATTATTTTGTGATTGTCTATGTCATGCATCAAAGTATAATATGCCACTTAACTTTGAGGTGCTTAACATAATAGTGGAACAAATTCTGATAAACACATGCTTAATAAAGATTTAAGGACACCCTTTTTGATTAAAAGGCCCCATTGTCATCTTGTAAGTACATGATAAGACTATGAGCTCCACTTGTAGTTGACTTGATGAGATCTGTTTTCTTTAGTAATTCTAGATCAATTTTTGAGATGTCTATGCACTATTGATGAAGATTTATAATAAGTTTCTAACATAGACTTTCTATAATTTTAATTTACAGAGGTACAGATGCATCTCATCTGCCATTTGATCAAATGACAATCTTTTATAGTGGCAGAGTCAATGTTTATGATGGAGTTCCAATTGACAAGGTAATCATTCATATGTGGATATCAACAATAGAATTCAGTATCCTCCTTCTGATATGAGTAGCTGGTTCAGCAGGCACAGGCGATAATGCATCTAGCAGCAAGCCCTATCCAGTTTTCTCAGGATGACCCAAATAATGGGAACCCGACACACTGGAGTGGTCCATGCCAGGTGCCCACTTCAAGTGTTAAATTCAGTGTGTCTACTCAAGATGGAGCTGCTGCGCAGCCCATGATGCAAGGTACAGCTTTTTGATTTTTTAAGTCATTTCCCTTGTTAGGTTATCTAGAGTCATGATAAAGTTTCGTCTTGTGTGATTTATACAAGAGTACATCTTAGTCCTATTGCCAGGTAAGTTTGTTTATTTGATTAGTTAACACTAGAGTTGTTTCTTATGAATGGATCACCTAGACAATGTTAGCAATTTTCAGTTATAAAACTTATGATAGTGTACTGAATTTAAGAATGTCATTTTTTTATTGTCTCATACCAAAAGTAGTACGGTATTCACTTTTAAATACCTCATCCCATCTCTAAGGATGTTAGGAACAAGGGCTGTGCAATCACCCTGCACAGTCAATATGATACAGATGTTTTGTGGAATTTTCGTTTATGAGAAGGCCTGTTCACAAGGAGTCTTAAAGATAATTTGTGATGCTTTCCTAATTACTTATAAATTGTTAATAAGTAGTTTGAGTTGAAAAATGTTCAGGAAAATATTAGATTTTTTAATCAAAGAAGGGAAGTTGAGTTAATTTACCTCTGTATCACAATGGGATGAAGATTTAATTAGAAGAAATTTTAACAAGTTGAAGTACATCCTCTCTCTCAAAAATGAAGTATATCTTTGTTTTTGGTTTGTGAATTAAGGGTGGATGTGTAACTAATACTATTTTTCCTTGCTATATATATGTTTTGTATGAAAAGTATCTACTGCTTTTAAACAATCAAACATTGAAAGACTCTATAGTATATATTGACATTGGATACGACTTTATTATTGTACTTTAAAGGGATTGAGGAACTTTTTTTTTGGGAATCGAGAGAAAAATCTTTTTCCCTTTCGTTTTGTAGTAGTCCAATTATGGGAGAACACTTTATGCTTCCATTTTCAATAGTACTACTGTGATTTTCTCAAAACCGACCAAGTTGCAAGACAAAAAACAGCCAACATGATGATGAAAAATTCTTATTCATCTTCTTTTTCACTGTTTTTGGTACTCTTGGTAATAGACTAATAGTTGCGATCAACTTTGATTAGCTGATGGACATGCAACCACAAGCAAAGGGAAATGGGAAAGCTACAAGCCTCAACCCTTAAATTTCCTTGCACTCATAGTTGATTTTGAGTTGAAAGCCTTTAGCCCTTTACAAAAGAGATAGAAGGTTACTAAAGAAGTAAATATGGACTTAGTAAGTGAGCCACAAGTAAAAGAATGCTCTCTTGGTTTGTATGGGAGGGCTTTGGGGCATTTGTGCTATGAAGATTAGTGAAAGAGCTTCATGAATGGTTAATGTCTATAATTTTGATGTAGAAGGTATATCTGCAGTTGGAATTCTGGCTTCAGGTTAGTGGCTCCTTGTGTGGTATGTCATGTTGCCCTTTTAAGTTTATTGGATGATAAATTCTGTTGTATTATTTGTTGAATGATTAAGTTTAAGTATTGGAAGGAGACCAGTGCATTTGTGAAGTATGTATAAAGATGTATTGATGCATGATTGGAAAAGATTGAGGCTCCAAGTTTAATAGATGTAGGCTTCTGTTAGTTTATTCTTATTGTAAATTATTAGATTGATGGTTTCCGCTCATTGCTGAAAAGGTTCCCCCCTTGTTTTATCATGTTTATTATTGCAGCTATTGCTAGTTCTTTAAGTTTATGTCCTCCAATCAAAGATGAAGTTATGCATTTATATAAGTTGCCATAGACTAGATTTCATTCGTCCGGGTAATGGTTTAGTTTGGTTAGTAGGTGGATGGGTTGAGACACATGAGTGGTCAGAGAAAGTGGTAGCCTAATCTTTCTTAGCCTTAAATGTAGCAGTTGGTCTCCACTTTCTGTTGCAATTAAAACATAAATAAAATTAAATGCTGTAACAATGTCGCGTCATGGTCTAGTGGGAATGATCACTTTCCCAAAAGCCGATTCCGCACTACCCTAGTGCAGGTAGAAACAGAGCGATTAGCTTCCAGGATTAGCACAGCTTTCTAAATTGTGTGAACTAACAACTCATGAATGAAGATCAGAATTTTTGGCTAGAAAGCGTTTTTGAGATAGTGTTTGATGTGCTAGGAGGAGACAAAGCAGTAGGATGGATTAAAGGAGATAATCAAGGAAACACTTAATTATGTGAATAAATCAGGGATGCAGTAAAGAAGGCTCAATCAATTTATATTGGCCAAATAATTTCGCTAAGAATAGCAATAATAAATTCTTACAATTAATGGATCATTCAAAAGTTTGGGCTCCAAAAAGGAACAGACAGGCGCCATGCTCCTTGCCACGAGCCCGGTCAGCGTGTGTGTGTTTGTGGGGTCCACTAAAAATTATGTAAGGTAAACCTCCCATATATAAACAAGGGATACACTCGTATCCTTTCCATGTGAGACCATGGATTTTCTTTCCTTTGTTATTCTCTTTTGAGGTGGGTTTTGTTTGAGCAGTTTGTGAATTTTCAACACTTTCCACTGCTTGCTGAGATACCACAAAATGACATAACTGCAGTGGCTGTCTTGATTGGTTTTTTGAGTGTCGCACTAATGAAACAAGAAAGGGCATCAGAGAAATTCATGCACAGCTTTTGCAAAGTGTTTATCTAAGCTGAGATTTAGAAAGTCTATATATGCGTAACTTATCTAGTAACTATATGTTAGTTGCATATTTGGTTTATGGCTGTTAGATTGTTGCTTTTCTACCGGCTATAAGCCTTATGTGAAATGATTGTTTATTTAAAAAACGATCATCGCTCAATTTTATTTTGGTATATTCTGAAATTATAAAATGGCAGGTAAAATGATGGAATCTATTCAACATTGTAAATCAGATGGAAGCCTTTTTTACGAACAAGGTGCGTCATTTTGTGTGTCATGATTGTGCTTTCCGTTGCCAAAAATATTTATTTTTGTTCAAATGGGAATATTATTGATGTTCAACACCCACAATGAAGGATATTGATCAATATGGGATGGAATGGATATCAAAACAAGATAGTGCCATTAAACAAGTATTTAAATTCCTAAAGCATATATCATGTTCCTACCATAGAGACAACTGAAGCGGGATGTTCTAGAAGCTTACTTTGCTTGTAGGGTGTGGTCTAGTGGAGAGTCATAACTCAGAAAAATTAACCGACGATTGGCATTCACTAGAGCATATGTAACAGTTATGGTTTGATTTTCTTTTCAGGAGATTACAGAAAAGAGAGATTCAAAAGACTCATTCATGTGTAGTGTTGATTGAAATCTGGGATGTGAGGTTGTGTAATAGCTGCTGCATTTATAGTACCTCTTCTGTTGCTCACCAGCTATTAGGAACATCTCATGTAATTATTGTATCTAGAATATTGGAGTTAGTATTCTGTTGTTGAATCATGCTATTGAGGAGTCCTTTTAGATGCTTCTTGTCATTAAAAACATATGTGTGTGCATTATTTTAGACTGCTGGCTGAATTTGTGTTTTATATCACTGTATAACTAATGTAACAATAAAATAAATTTGAAAAAAAAAAAACCATTTTTTCTTCCTCTCCTACTCTTCATTGGGCCAATGATCTTTCTTATAAGTTTTCTTCATCTTGAAATAAGTAGCTTCTTTTCTGATTGATTTGAATGGTGTATGGTCTTACCTATCCATTTCATTTAACATGGCAGATGTTGAAGGTCAGACAAATAGACAGGTCTCATTGCAGAGGTATTTTGAGAAGAGAAAAGATAGGTATAATGTATGACCTGATATCTTTAATTGTCTGTTAAGTTATTCAGTTTCCTTAAGTTGTTTCTTTTTCTCTCCAATGTCATCAGGGGAAAATTCAAAATGAAAAGGAAGGTAGAATCTTCTCCTTCTGGCTTGGAGATGTACCTGAACCATCAGATGAGGACATCAGTCATCAACGGACAGCCAACTCGAAACAACACTAGCCCTAGAAGCCAACTTGGGATACCCTGTTCAAGTTATGGCTTAGCAGATAAAGATCAGAAGAATCATGGTCTGTCTGTTGATCTTAATGACAAAGGTAAGCAATAAAAAACATTGTCAACTAAGGATGTTCTCACCAGGTCAATATCTTGTTTTTTTTTTTTATAAACCAATTAATAATTTTTAATTAATTAATTTTTTTTTTAAATTTTTGTTCGGAACACAACCTATCTATTTGGTATAATTGTTTGAAGCGTCTCTAAGGCTTGTGGCAGTAAAACGAATAAGTATGATCAATTTTCTTGGGTATTAATTTCCAGATGAAATCAAAATGCTTTATTCACTATGATTTTCAACAAAAAAACTTTTTCCTGGAAGCCACCAGAATGTGGATCATTGTGGAAGATTTCACATTATCTTCTTGTGAATATTCCAAAAATTGTTTTAATAAGCTACATTTGTCTCACATGGTGAGCAAATTTTGTTTATTGAAGCTGCTGTTTGTTTGGAACTGACTGCAGTGGTTCCATATGACAAAATCATTTAATATTAAGGGTATTCAAAAGGAAGAATAAGTAATTGAGAATTTGGAATACTTCATACTTCTCTCTCCTGTTTTTTTTTTTTTTTTTTTTTTTTTTTTCTTTTTGGTCGAATCATTGCATATACATAGTTTAAGAACACTAAGAGAGTGTGTGTAAAAAGGTGGGTGGGTGTAAGTTAGAGCAAGAGATAATGTGTATAAAGGTGGCTGACTGGCTGGGTTTAAGATAAATATGTGAGAGAACATGAAAAGGTATAAATATAATAAGGTTACAATGGTATGATGGTAAAGGGAGTACGAAAAAAATGAAATGAAGTAAAGTTCTAGAAAAAAAAAAAAGAAAAAAAAAACCACAAATGAAAAAAGAGCTGGGAAAAACAGGTATTTTTTTTCTACCAAAACACTCAAATGAGAATAATTTGGCAAGAATGTTGTACTCGCTTTGTATTTTTAAGTGAAACGTTTTGACTTTTTACACTATTCACATAATCCACTTTGACTAATGTTAGTGATTTATACATAAGAAAAAATATAGTCTTGTGAGTAGTGGTTGGAATCGTCTCAATGAACAGATTATTAATATTCAATTAATATAATTTTACTTATAGATAATTAAAGGTAATATTGTTTATAGTTTTGCATTGGCGAGAGGGTGAGTGGTGGAGGTTTTGGGAAGCGGGAAGGTGGGTGGTGGTTGTTTCGGGGAGAGGATGTGTGGATGGTGGTTTCGTGGAGAGAGGTGTTGTGGTGGTGGTGATTTCGGGGAGAGAGAGGGTGAATGGTGGTGGTGGTTTCTGAGAGAGGGTGGCTGGTAGTTGTGGTTGACTGGGTGGATGTTGGTGGTGGGAGGGTGGTGTTGAGAAAGGGGTTGGTGCTGGTGGTGGCTGAATGGGTGATGTTTGTGGTGGCTGGTGGTGTTGGTGGTGGCTGCCCATGATTCATTAATAACACTTAATCACATATTAAGAAATTTTTTCTTGAGATGTTACTAATTTTGTTGCACAAAATAAGAAACAGAGGTAGTACTAAAGATTTTATTCACTGTTGAAAAAGAAAAAAAATTAGAATACGAGGGCATATCTTCTAAAAAAAGAATTAGAATTCCATTAAATGTCCATTTTTGATCATGTCAAAGAGATTATTAATTGATGATCCGAGATCCTTACATCCTAAAATAATATACCAATGTGAACCACCCTGTTAAAAACTGCTTATCAACTATTCAGTCATCGGAAAGTTTGAAAAATAAAAAAAAGGGTTTCTATGGCATTCCGAATTAACATTCCCAAAATCCTAAATTCACTTTAGACCTGAGCCCAAGTCTTTTTCTCTGATTCAAGCAACTACAATGTGTCCTTTTGGATAGTCTCAAACTCTCAATAAAAGATATGTATGTTTCAACCTCATGCTCACTATATCTTCGAAGGATAGACGACATAGACCTATCTTCTATGTTATTTGGACATGGAGTCATGTATCAGATATAAAAACATGATGTGAAATACAAAAATTTGTATTTAGACGTGTCATCAACCTATGTTGCTGGAACTTTCCCATGTGTGGGAAGAAGTCCCACATCGAAAGTGGTGAATAGTGGTAGGAAAGTGACAAGTGTGTTAGGTTTGTGGGTTACTCTTATTGCCATATGTTTTTAGGATGGATCCTTTGTTGCCTTGTACGTGGGTCACCTTTTATCTTGTAGTGGGCCTTGACCATGGTGCAACAACTATTATCTGAGCTAATAATGAATTGCTTTAATTGTCCTATTCTCACATAGGGTAGCATGTGATGAAGTCCAAGATGTTGCAAGGGGTAGCCAAGGAAGTGGTGAGTGAGCAAATAGAGATTTTGTATGATCATACATGTGAAGAAGTACATAACAATTAGACAGCCAGAATGAGCCAAAGTTGGAAGAACAAATGCAGTCACGGGCCCAATGGTCGCTTAGTATTTGAATATGTAGGTATGGAGTGGTGTATCTTGATGGTGTGGGTGCAATCCTTTGGAGGTGGCATTGTATGGTTCTCTTGAAAAATGGGTGAGCCCTAGTTGATGGACATACATGCAAGTAGTGGAGTTAAACACACCAATTGACCTGTAAGCATGAATTGCAAACATGTTGGCTGACTTGGTGTGTGGCTCAAAGAGCATAGCTAGATTTGATGTAGACCCTGGTGTGGCTATACTAATGGGTTTGTGGTTGTACTAATGGGTTTGTGGTTGTACTAGTTGGTTCTCGAGTTAAGCTCAGAACAATGCGAGGGTGTACGAATAAGCGGGAGCTATGAGGAACACACATGTAAGGGGGAGATTGTTGGATTTTCCCATGTGTGAAGAATTGTCACTCTTCAGAAAAGTAGTAAAAAGGTGACTAGTTTATAAGATTCGTGGGCTACTCCTGTAGCCGTATGGTTTTTGGAGAGAACGTCTTTGTTCTTGTATGTGGATCACCTCTCCTCTTGTAGTGGGCCTTGACACAAGGCATAACACATGTAGATATAGCAAGCCAATGTTTTTAGTAGACTAGATGACAAAAGTGATGGTAAACTGATAACAACTTTGGGGCACTGTACCTCATTATAAGGTCCCCCCCCCCCCCCCCCCCCTTTTTCTCTTCTTCCCATTATTTTCTCGTTCTTTGTACAAATATAGAGATGAAGCTTTTGGAACAATAATTTTCATGAAAAACAGAAGAAATAGATGATGATCAGGGTCATTGCAGTTGGGTACTGGCTTAGTGGCTTGCCTATACCAACAGGATCAAGGAGCTGGTGGTCTTGTTCTTTTAATCATGTTCGGATAGTTCTATTCATCATGTTCATATATATATAAATAAAACATATGGTCTTTTTGACTTTTTGGATACATAGGTAGTCTGTACTTTGGTCTTTGGGGTTTCTTAAAGATTTGATGTGCTCCTTGCTGACCACTCTAAATGAACTGGAAGTTTCAGCTTTATCTAAGAATTTTCTAAGATTTCCCATTAATTCCTTCCCATTATATTTTTGTTCTTTTTACCAAAATAGAGATGAAGCTTTTGGAAAACAATTCCTATGAGAAACAGAAGAAAAGGATGAGTATCAGGGTCATTGCAGTTGGGTACTGGCTTGCTTAGACCAGCTGAATCAAGGAGTTGGTCTACCAATTTTCGGTCTCCATTTCATCTCAATGTACTGCATCTGATATTGGATGTGATAATACTCTGATATGGTTGTGCTAGAGCCCTTGACACATTTCCTAGTTTGCCTTAATAACAGAAACCAAGTAAACATACTCTTACCATGAGCCTTAATTTTGATTTTAGATGTCAAAATATATTCTCTTTTGTTCATACATAAGGTCAAGTTATTAACTTAATGCAGGAATGACTGAACCTGTACCTGATAGACAGAATTCATGCATTTTAAACCTCTTTGCATGTTCCTGCTGGCTTTTACTGAGAAGGGATTATAAAATATCTGGGAAAGGAAAGAGTGTGCAACGTGAACAGAAATTGAGCACTCAAACAGCGATTGAGGAGGTGTTGAAGTTATTAAGACTTACAGCTTGTTTGGGTAATGAAAAGGGAAGGAAAAGAAGGGGAGGGAGGGGAAGAGGAGAGAAGGGAAAGGGAGGGAGGGAAGAATAATGAGTTTTCCCTCCAAATCTCTCCAATGTTGGAGAGATCAAATTCTTACAATTTAATCCCTCAGTTTCTCTCCCCTCCAATTCCCTTCATCCCTCATTTGTTATCCAAATGAAAGATACTCCATCTCTCCATTTCCCTTCCCTTCCTTTCCCTCTAATTTTTTAAATCCAAACACACTCTTAGAGAATTGGAGTATGCCCTACATAGGACATTACTAAAGGTTTACAGAATCTCACAAGTCATAATATCTTTAGATGTAATTTAAAACTTCATTTGTTGCAACTTCAACAGCTTCCAATCAGCTATATTTTGATGTTTAGTTTCGGTGGTATTTTTTTTTTCTTTATTTTTATTTTTTATTCCAGGGGTGTTAGGGAGGTTGTTGGGGGGGGGGGGGTGGGGGTGGGGGGAAAGGTGGTAGGGGAGGTGTGGTAAGAAATTAAATATTGGAAAGGTAATGGGCCTTGATAATATATATATATATATATATATATATATATATATATATATATATATATATATATATATATATATATATATATATATATATACTCCCTCCGTCCCATAATATAGTTCCCGCTTTCCTATTTTGGAGATCCAAAATATTGTTCCTGTTTCTATTTTTGGATAGTATGTAAAGACTATTATATCCTCACTTTTTTAACTTTATTCGTTGTACTTCGTTAATTACCATTGAATTTTGCACATGCCTTGCACTTTTTTCCACCTGTCCTCTCTAACTTTTGTCTATAATTGTACTTTTTACTTTTATTAATGTACTTTATCCACTTTCTCCTCTTATTTCTTAAATACTGTGAAAAAACACAAATCGGAACTATATTATGAGACGGAGGGAGTATATATATAAAAAGGATCTTCCTGCTCTATGAGCTGACTGAGTTTTGAGTGTAAGCTATTCTCTGTTTGATACGGTAAGTTAAAAACTAATGGAAAATTATTGTATCAATTCTAGCATGTATATTTCCTTGTCCTTGATTTTCCATTCTTCATCATATTTAACTAATCGGGATTCGGGAGATATAGCCGCAATAGCAACTGTTTGTGCCTTGTTTTTTTGTTTATTGTTTTTTTTTTTTCATTCTTTTTTGTTTCCCATTTTTTGTTTTTTTTTTATTTTTTATTTGGTATCTTTGATGAAATTTTCTGATAATGCTTTTTCCCTGCATCGTATTCTGGTTTCTTAGGGATGGTTTGACCTTTCAGTTGGCAACTGAAATTTGGTTATGAAACTGAACTGAAATTGAGTGTTCAGTATTTGGCTCAAATTGAGTTGCTGAATAAGTTCAATCGCTCTTGTCATTTGAATGAATAATATTTTTGTCCGTTTAATTTTGGTTCTGGATTTTCGTTTGTGCTTACATTGTTGTGTAAGGTGGTAATATGTACTTTACAAAGGCCATTGACTAATTTTCTCACTGATCATTGCAGCTTAGAGGTCCCTGCTAGCGTATTCACGGCTTGTTGACTTTTTGTCTCATGGAAGCGAATAATCCTATTAGAAGTCATTCCCTGAAGATTCTAGGCGGCATTATTGTGATCCACATCTTATATATGTGGTGCATGCCAGTTGAAATGTGTTATGGAACTCCACTCCAGAGTACCTATGAGAGGATATTGTCGTTAGTGGTACGAGTAATTTGATGCTCTAATCAATTTTGTAAACAGAAGGCATGGAATGATTCTAGTCTCTATTCAGTCGAGGTTCTTGCTGCTCTTATCAATTTAGAACATATTGCGATGCGCCAGCTTCCTGCTGTCCCTGAGCACTGTCAAGATGTAATGACATGTTTAATGTTACCCATCAAGATGTAAGGACCTATAATCATTATAATTATAATGCCAAGCTATTATCCCTGACGGTTTTCTTTATCTACTCATTACCATATATAAGATAATTAATATATATATATATATATATATATATATATATATATATATATATATATATATATATATATCTTATTTGTTTGTTTCATCTTTAATATATACTGAGTTACACAATAACCTACTACATAAGTATACAGCCCGGTTGTTGGGGGTAAAACAGCAATTTACACAGTACACAGGTAAATAAACAATACCCATTTTTAATTAATTTATTTATTTCTTTTATTTGGTATCGAGTGTCTTTTAAATTAGAAATAGATAGTTTAATACCAATAATTTGTATAGACTTTATATACACCCGGATGCAAGGTGTACTTGCGATATAATCATTTGATAATTGAGTAACAATCATCAAGAAGGCCAAAAAAATATTCTTGGATGCACTGTTCACCTGGGGTATAAGTATAAAAGTCTCTCTAACATGTAGTACAGAAAAAACAAGTTTTTTCTATAACTAATAAGCTAAAACTATTCACAAGTATGTATAATTGTCTTGGAAGAATCTACTGCAGCAAGCAATTAAACCACACAATAGTAACCAATAAAATTAACATTAATAATTCGAAAAAATTAGCATAGCCATGGTCAGACCTTACAGTTTAAATATTACTAGGTATTTTTTACTTTTTTTTTTTTTTTTTTTTTTTTCTTTTTTGGACATGATACTTCGTATTGTTAATGAGTTGAACTTGTTGAAATTTGTGAACTTTGCATGTGGTGTACGGCTCATAAGTTTACTTATATAAAACTATACTTAAGTGCATAGTAATTTCAGCTTACTTAACTGTAATATTAGTAGAGAATATAACATTATTAATTGTTAACGATTTGCACAAAACAATGCAACTATAATTATTGTTCAATAGCCTAGGCTGGGCTGGTGTTTCTCCCAATTCACCCAATTCAATATTAGCAACTACGAAACCACAACTCTGGCTACAAATAAAGGAAGATATAATCGTAGCGACTAGCAACAAGACACCAAACCAACCAGTCAACGGAAGCAACTAGCTAGATTCTGAAACAATATACGGTAAATGTTGTTATGCACTCTTATTTTTGGGATGATACGGTATTAGTAGAACGTGTAGTGCAAGTATTCGCAAAATATATGAGTGTGAAATGTGTTATACTGTATTAGTTATTACTAACACCATGTTTACTGAGTTTTTATTTGTTGGTTATGCAGCAAACGAACAATGGCCTAGATATCGAAGAAGGAGATTCTAAGGTTCAGAGTTGTGTGGACGCCTTAACCAAGAAGCTGGAAAAGAGTTCAAATGCGACAGCAAAGAGAAATGATCTGTATGGACTTTCTGTCAAACTGAGCGAACCAATAGCAGCACGCGATCCATTTAAGTTTATCATTGTTACCATTGGTCGTGTGAGATCATTGCAAATGCAGGAGCAAAAGTGTGGTTACATGAACTCTCTCCTCTCCAGAAGCAACTTAGTTGCCTCGTCCGGGACACTAGGCAAGAATGCGCTTCTGAAGGCCTGTGTGCAAGCCATTGTGGATCTTGAAAATGAGGTGCGTCTATGGTATGCTGATATTGACAATTTCACTCATTTTGTCGAAATGTATGTCCTTGATGGCTGTTTTATCCTTGAACTCCTTATTCGTTACTACACGGTCTTCAAATTACATCTAAGATGGGATTGCCATGATAATCCCCTATTTAAACCAGCAGAGGATCAGGACGAGGATCCTGTATTTAAATTTAATTGGATACTGTCTGCAGTGCGCTGTGATTTAGCACTCCTTCAGAACCAGATGTCATTTGTGATCCTGCAGAAGCTATTTGAGCTAATCACGGGCCGTGATAATAATTTACCCCATGACTTCCTGGTAGAGCTGGCATCCCAGTTCTTCCAGCCAGTTCACCAGCAGGAAAACCCTCCAGTGACTGTAATTGACCGGACATTACACCGGGCGCATCTCCTTAATGTCTAGCTCAATGTCTTCCTCTCAACAACAGAAACTGAAGCAGCTGCCAGAAATGGTAGAAGCCGCAACGATCTTGTCCAATCAACCCCAAGAAAAACATTCATCCAGAGTGCAACATAACTTGAGCAAGTTGGGGTCAGATTCATCCCAGGGTCTACAGGAAGTCTACTCGACATTTGTTTTCAGGGAAGGCAAGGTGCATTCGAAATCCCAACTTTGCAGATTACTGCATGGATTAACTCCTTCTTTAGGAACCTCATGGCCTTTGAGCGTTGCTGTCCGGATCGGAAGCCTTATGTGGCCTCTTGCTCCTCATGAGCCGGCTCATCAACGACTCTGAAGACGTTCGTTTGTTAGAGAGACGAGGCATCCTAATTAATGATATGGGCAGTGACAAAGATGTTCTAGATATGTTCAAGAGCATAGGGAGGCAAATTGATGTGCAAGACTTCTACTATCAAGAGCTATGTGATTATGTGAACTCGTCTTACAGCACAATGTGGAACCGGTACACGAAAGAACTGCAAAATCGTTACTTTAAATCCCCTTGGGTTATCATATGCGTTAATGCTGCTGTGATGATGATGGTACTCATGGTCTTACAAACAATCTATGCAGTCTTCACGTACGATAAACTATAAATTAAGGCCGAGCCATTGTAAAAGACTCATCTGAGACGATGGATCCAAGTGAAGGTGACTCAGGGTGGAATCCAGGTCTACATCAAATTAATAGGAAATAGATCCGACCCATTGTCACCTTTATGAATTATGTCCCCTCGTAGTTTAAAATAGATGATGTAATTTTATTTTCGTTGACCTAGATTTTGTTGCATATGCATGTGGTAGGTGCTGTGCTAGCTCTTGACCATATGTGGCTTAGGTGATTTGGGCGCATTGTATTCTCATTCAAGTAACTTTTTTTTTTTCTTACCTTATCGTTTTTAGTTAATTATTTTATAATTTCAAATATATAAAATGCCGTTGTGTTTCTGCTCGATCCGATTAAAGTGAGTTATTTTTTATGACTTCTGGATCCAAGGTATCCAATTGAACTAACGTCTCCATTCAGCAAGAGCTGGCCTGAGTGCCTCAGACCACCTCTTGAGGAGCTAGTTGTATAGGGTAGCTCCCGCTGAGCTGCCCTGCGCTCTTAGCATTACTTGAGGGGTGCACACTCGTACCAGTCAAGGCAAGGGAAAACCTCCCAGGGGCTCAGCCTCACGGCTGACCCCAGAGGGCTCCATCTCGGAGTCAGGGATAATCTCCCAGGGGCTCAGCACCAGGCTGGCCTCAGTAGGCTCCAGCATGCAGCACCAAGAATAGAACAACTATAAATAGTAACCTAAGTACAACGAAAAAGGGGTTAGACACATTCATTATTCGTCACTTACCCATTATTATCCAATACCTTACCGACTTAAGCATCGGAGGGAGGTTCCTCGAAACCACCCCCGAGGGCATAACCACTGTTCATTGTGCAGGTAATCCCAGCCAGCACCCAGGTCCAGCCACCAGCTAGGCTCCGGAACTACACCCGGAACAATTGGTGCTAGAAGGAGGGGTAGTTCCGACACCTTTGCTCAACCATTAAGGTTGTTTGAGGCTGGGAAAGCCGCCATGACGGGGGAAAAACCAAATCTGGCGATTAAAACACCAATAACTGATAGTACCCAAACACCACAAAATAAATCCGATCTCGCAATAGTAACTGCAAAATCAACTCCGATCAATACCCATAACCCAAATCATGCTGGAGCTTCTTCTGGCATTACCAAAAACACAAATGGAGCTCATAAACCAATCGGACCAGCTCAAACAGTTCCATTCGGAATGCCGTACACGAACCAGAACAACGAGGTGATCACTCAAATGCCAACGGGTAAGTTCCTAACAGTGCAAATACTAGAGGTACCACAGAACTTGTCTCAGTGCAGCAAGGATCAACTGGCTGCCATGACGGCTGTGTTGAACTCATTTGGAAAAGGATCGAGCTCCACTGGTCCGCAGGCATCTGCTGGGTAGACTCTTATCAGGTCACTCGTACACAGTCTGACCCTAGAGCAGAAGGAGCTGGCAGCCTTGAGGAAGAGAGTGAAAGAGTTGGAGGCTAGAAACTTAAATAGAGAATGGAGCTCGGGGGAGTCAGGCGAAGTCCCCACTATCAACTCGCGTAGCAGATCCCCTACCCAATCTCTGATCCCCACGCGCTCCAGGAAGGCAAAGATCATGGTGATCCCGAGAACTCACCCTTCTACAAGGAAATTCTGGAGGAACCGATGGAGAAAATCAAGATGTTTCATGCAAATACAATGGGACAACAACCCCTAAGAACCATTTGTATGTCTTTGAGAGTCATATGGTCTTATACACCGGGACAGACTCAGTCTGGTGTAAAGCATTTCCTCCAACCGTAGAGGGATTGGCTGCAGAATGGTATCGTTCACAGGAGAAAGGGTCAGTTTACTCGTACAGTGGCTTGAAGAGACTATTCATGGATCATTTTGTCACACTGGTAGATCGTACCAAATTGACAACAGAACTGATGTCGCTAGAGCAGGGTGAGACTAAATCACTCAGAGATTTCATCACTCGGTTAAATAAAGAGGCAACGTCAATTCCCAACATGAGCCAGGAAGTGGCGTTGTTAGAAATGCAGAGCGGCCTCCTCCCAGGGTCAGCATTCAGAGAGTACATGGGCAAGAAGAATCTGAAAACATTGGCAGAGGCCTTAGGTAAGGCCCATGAATTCATTAAGGGGGACGAAACAGACAGAGCCATGCTGGCCAGAAGGTCAGCCTCTGCCAAGTCAGGCAGATGGGCAGAGCCCGGCCGGGTAGAGGCAGCTGGCAAGGCAGAGCCTAACTCTGCTGGGTACGGAAGGGCGGACCAGCAGAGGAGAGACAATGAAAGGTCTTCAGGCCAGAGGAGGCAGGCAGAGGAAGATTGCAGGGCAGATATGAATAATACACCTAGCTAACTCACAGCCGATCTCACATCTTCAATGTGAATAAGTATGATGATAAGTGGTAGAGACCACCAAGGATGACTACTAGTAACCTAAACCCAAAGAAATGGTGTGACTTTCACAGAGATAAGGGTCATACGATTGAGGAATGCATTCACCTCAAAGACAATATTGAAGACCTCATTAGAAGGGGGTATCTATATCAATTTAAATAATACTCTGGGCAGGACAGGAACCGATATAATGATAGACCTAGAAATGATCGGTGGAAGGATAGTAGGGGTGACAGGGGTAAGTAGGAAGAGAAAGACAAAGAAAAGAGAGAGCTAGAAGACGTGTTGGTGATTGGCGGTGGGCCTTTGCATGGACGAACAGTCAGCAGGGCTAGAGTTGACCTCAGAGACATGGTCCATTAGGTAAACTACAATGAGCGCAAAAAGTGGCCAACACCACCTCCTCAGCCAAAGGTAGTGTTTGACGAGCAGGATCAACACGGAGTCATATACCCACATGACGACCCTCTAGTAGTCGCAATAACAATTGCAAATTGGAAAGTCAAGAGAGTTCTAGTAGATGGAGGAAGCTCAGCCAACATCATGTTCATAGAAGCTTTCCACAAAATGCATCTAGATAGCAAAGACCTCAAAAGGGTTAACTATGAAGTCACAGGGTTTGATGGCTCAGGGATGATAACAAAGGGGATAATAGAACTGTCAGTCCAAGTGGGAGAAGGAGCTTAGGCCAAGAACGTGAGAGCAGAGTTTCTTTTCATTAACTCCCAATCTCCGTACAACATGATAATGGGCAGACCCCTTATCCACAAGATAAGTAGAGTGGTGTCCACGCTGCACTTAGCATTAGCATATGCTAACAACAAAGGCTGCTTAGCCATTGAGGGGCTGCCTGAAAACAATAAGGCTGTGTTACATTACTTCTCTGAAAAAACCAGTGAAATATGGTTCTCTGCCCAAAGTCCTGAAGAGACCGCAAGAGGGGAAAAAGTCTCCAAAAAGAGGAAAAGACAAGAATATAAAGAGGAAAAGGAAAAGCAAAAGCCGGCCATGGAAAATTTTGAGCCTGAGATGGAAGATGTAGCCCGTCCAACCCCAGAAGGGGAGCACGAGCACTACTAAAAATAGGACGTTTTTTACTAAAAAATTCCGTCGGAAATCGCGTTTCCGGCGGAATTCCGTCGAAATGGTCTGTCGTAAAAGCTTTTGTAGGAAATTTGCCCTTTTTCGATGGAATTTCCGTCGAAAACGTGTATTCCGACGGAAATACATCTGTCGGAGCTTGGTTTGACTTAAATTGGAAATCCGTTGCAACATTCCGACGGACTGATTTCCGTCGTTACATACACTCTTCCAACGGAATATTCCGTCGTAAACAGTTACTCTTCCGACGGAATTTTCCGTCGTAATTTCTGTATTTTGCGAGGGAATTTTATTCCGTCGGAAATTTACGATGCATTATTCCGTCGCAATTTTCCAACGGATTTGTTTTCCCTCGTAAAATACACACTTTACGAAGGAATTTTGCATCTGAATTTCCGTCGCAATATTCCGACGGATAAATTTTCCGTCGCAACAAAAGGAGTTTTCGACGAGAATATAAAAAACCAAAGCAACTAAGTTTTGGGAACCATTTTCATCCAAATATGGCCTAGGTGACTTCTACTTTGCCCATTTTCAATGTTTCTTAGAAAAGGAACTCTTTTTTCATCATAACATGTCAATGATAGTAGTTTTAGGTGTATAGGGCTTGAAATGACAAAAAAAACCAAATTAACTAAGTTTTAGGAACCTTTTTCATCCAAATTCATCCAAATGTGGCCTAGGTGACTTCTACGTTGCCCATTTTCTTCATTTATTACCAAATGAACTCTTTCTTTCTCATTACATGTCAATGATAGGTAGTTTTAGGTGTATAGGGCTTCAAATGACAAAAAAGCCAAAGTAACTAAGTTTTAGGAACCTTTTTCATCCAAATTCATCCAAATGTGGCCTAGGTGACTTCTACGTTGCCCATTTTCTTCATTTATTACCAAATGAACTCTTTCTTTCTCATAACATGTCAATGATAGGTAGTTTTAGGTGTATAGGGCTTGAAATGACAAAAAAACCAAAGTAACTAAGTTTTAGGAACCTTTTTCATCCAAATTCATCCAAATGTGGCCTAGGTGACTTATACGTTGCCCATTTTCTTCATTTATTACCAAATGAACTCTTTCTTTCTCATAACATGTCAATGATAGGTAGTTTTAGGTGTATAGGGCTTGAAATGACCAAACAAAAAAAAGTAACTAAGTTTTGGGAACCATTTTAATCAAAATAGAACCAAATATGGCCTACATGACTTCTACTTTGCCCATTTTCTTCATTTCTTAGAAAATAAGTTTTGATTCTAAGTTATATTGAAGTTTTTACTGCAATTTGCTTCGCTTTGGTGTTGACTGGCACTGTGATCTTCCCAGGCAAACCAATGTTGTTTCGTCGCTTCATTTACCTCTCCATAGTTCCTCCAAGGGTCTCGATAGTATCCAGTAAGCGTACCGGAGACCGCACTCCTCACCTTGTTTCCATCAAACCTACAATAAACGAGAAACAACAATGCTAGATGATCATCAACAAAAAGTAATTTTTAACTTGTTAGAAGTAATAAATAGGTTAAATTTTCGAAAATAAGAATATAAGTCCAATTCATTAAATGTACGTATGTACCAGAGTGTAGTAGGGTCTAACACCGACAACTCTGAATGCTCCTGTGTCTGATCCTCTACATGGGTGGAGGGGGGCTCCAGAGTGGCACCCATATCATGTGCCTCGATATCCTCCATTTCTACACCATGGTTGTCGATCACAACGGCGGGAGCTTTCCCTTTCCCTTTAGCTTTCCTCGACGATTCTCCATCTCTACCCCCCGCCACGACCACCTGAAATAGATGTTAGTAACATGACATGATATTATAAAGGGGAATTCTCAATGGCGACCCCCAACAACTGCTACGCACCAATGGTGACCCTCTTTTTTTTTGGCTTATACAAAATGACCTTAGTTATCTATTTTCTCCTAATGATGACATTAATGATTGTTTTTAACATAAAATTAAACCATGGTTAACCAAAATATTGAAATGACAAAAATGCCCCTTTTTATTTCACCCAAGCACCCGATTTTAATTCCCTCCATTTATCTCTCTCTCTCTCCTTCGTTCTCCCTCTTCATTACTCTTCATCTTCTTCCTTCTGGTGCCTGTCCCATCAAATTGTTCATCAAGACACAAAAAAACGCAGAGCATTGAGTTCGAACTCTATAATACCATAAAAAACAGACGACGATTATCAATTTTCTTCTGGGATAAAATAAAGGGGGATTCAAACTTTTTTAATTTCAAGAATTGCGACTAGGGTATTCAATCCTGTGATAGAATCGGGGTAGTAGGTGAAAGGTCGAATCTTTCTGCATCATTTTGCCAAAAAGAAGTTCAGGTATGCATCCAAAACCCTAATTTTTATACATCGTTTCAATTGTGCATGTTATGTATTCTGTTTTGGCATGATCGTTTTGTTGCATGTTTTACGTGGTTGTGTTGAAGTATTATGCCCTAAATTTTGTTGTCTTGTTTACTGATTTTGTGTTATGGACTTGCTTGTTTGTGTTTGTGCTTGGAATATGGTATGGTGTTAGAATGTGTGATGCGGTGGTGTTGAGATTTCAGTATAAGGGTGTTGAGGTTGATGTGGTAGTTGAGGATGTTGACACAGTCAATCTAGTTGACCTAGTGATAGAGTATTGGGATAAGACTGTTGAGAGTAAGAAACCAATTCCAAAACATGCTAGTTTTGCTTATGTTCACAAAATGAAACATGTGGACTTGATTACCGATCAAGACTTGATGAAAATGTTTACTAACTTAAATGGAAGAGACCTTATACATATATGGGTGGGTGAGGCTAATTCACTAAATGAGTTACTGAAGGCTGCTAGGACTTTGAGGGCAAGTAGGAAAGCTGATGAGTTGAAACAAAGTGTGGGACAGTTGGGTACAACAAAATGTGATCCTGAAAAGGGAATCCCTAGGAGAAGTCTAAGGAATCTAGAGGGTGGTTCAAGTGAACCTGTGATAGAAGTTGAGAGACCTAAGAAACTAACCCCTAGGAGAAACACTTCATCCAATGTTAGAGAACCTGTAGACTCAGTTGCAGACCCTATTACTGAACCTGTTAATGAGGGAGATAATGAAGTTGATGGTGAAAGTGATGGTGAACCTGTTAATGAGGGAGATAATGGAGGTGATGATGAAAGTCCAGGTGTTGCAAGGCATACCCTAGTGCTGATGGGTATAAGGTCACTAATGGAAAATCAGTGCTCCCTGTCAATTTTGCTGAAAGAAGGTGCCTATGTGGGGTATGGTAGCTATCTGGAATTCCTTGCAGCCATGGCATGAGAGCCATCTTGCATGTAAGGCTTGATCCAAAATAGTTTTTTGATGAATGGTACTCTGTGAGAAGGTACAAAGCTGCATATGCTACTAGAATCAACTCCATCCCTGACAGTGATCAATGGCTAGAATTTGACATGCCTAAAATTGAACCCCCTGCCTTGAAAAGAGGAGTTGGAAGGCCTTGTAGAGAGAGAAGAAGGGATGAAGATGAAGAAAGGAAAGGAAAGAGAAGCAAGACCATTAAGTGCAGCAAATGTCAATGCTATGGCCATAACTCAGCAACATGTAAAGGAGGCCCCACTGCAAAACAAGCAGCTGCTGCTTCTGCCTCTACACAGGGTAAAGGGAAACAAGCTGCTGCTGCTTCTGCCTCTACACAGGGTAAAGGAAAAGCTGCTGTTGCTTCTGCTTCTGCAAAGGATAAAGGGAAAGGACCCATGTCTTATTCACAGCCTGCTCCAAAAATGAGGAAGTTTAGTGGTATTAGGTTCTCAACTCAGCCTCAGTAGATGAATGTGTTGGTTCTAGGTAGCATAAGTAAGTAGCAATGGAAACTGATTTTTTTGGG